AGAACTCATTTCCTTATTTGGTAAATTCCCTGACTGTACTTGTAAAGAATGTGCATTCTTTCATGCAGATGTTCCTAATAGTACATGTACTTTCACTATTGATGCTAACAAAACCTTTAAAATTTATTTCAAAAAAAAGAGGATTACTGTCAAAAAGTGTCTCCAAGATTTCTCTGATGAATTATGTTGTCTTACATCCTTATTTTATAACAATTCTACTCCTTCTCTACCTGCAGCTCGCACGTTTCATAATAATATTATTGATCTTATTCTTCCATAATCTTTTTACTTGACTTAACTCAAATATATTCAATCTGCAATTATTGATACCAGTCCCTTAGTTTTCTACACGAATGGTTCACTCAACAATATTCATTCAGAAAACTGCAAAATGGATCTTGATTAGATCTGTATAGATAGTCAAGCTCACTATAATAGTTTCTCAGCTTCATTATTATCAACCAGTGCTAAAATTTATGCTTTTCTCACTGTCATCATTGTCACTTCTCAATCAGCTACGTTAAATATATATACAGATAGCCTCACCCTCATCTATAGTTTTCAGTCTTATGTAGTTGATTCCAGACTTTCCAACAGAAAAATGGAATAGATTCCAAACTATACTATTTGGAATCTCATCCAGTATATACACAATGCTTCAACCTCTATATTAACCTTTTTAAGGTCAAATCGCATACTGGAGATATTCTAAATGATCAAGCTGATATACTAGCAAAAAATTGGAAATACTTATCTTTGAACTCTCCTAACATCACTAGTATTAGCTCGAGAAACCTTGTTCCTCTATTTAATAATATTCCTATAGTATCATCTATAAGAAAGTTTTTTAAGGATTACTTCTTTGTCTATACTTTCAGAACTTTCCTGACACTTTCTCGTAATAATTCAATTAGACTTTTGACTATTTGTTCATCTATTAACTGGATCACTACATGGAAATTTCTTTTATTAGATTCTTCATTACTCATCACATTATTTATCTCTACCAGATTAAAGACCTTCATCTTCAAAAATTTATTAGGTAAACTTTCTATTACAGCTAAAATGGCTCAGCTTTTCCCTAACCTAGAAATGTGTCAGCTGTAAAGTTCAATACTGAAACTATCTTACATTTATGGCATTGCTTAACCTATGAATAAAAGTCACTATAATTATTCTTTCTGCAAGAAATTTATTGTTCTAATATCTTAAAGATTACTCATTTGATTCTTTCTTAACATTTGAAATTGATTCTATTTTCAATCAAGTATTCAATATCTCTTCAGACTGTGGTCTCATTCATATTATAAAAGCTTTAATCCTAAACTCTCTAGTCTCTGTCATCCATAAAACTACATGAAACAGAAACAAAGCCATTAAAATCATCACATAACTTGTTTTGTTCATTTTTCAAAAAATGTATGAAGACATTTGAAAACCTCGTTGCAATCTTATGATTGCTAAAGAAAAACATTATGATATATCTTCAAAGAATAAACATTTACGCGGTCATTTAAGGATCAATTTTTAGAATAAATCTTTGGGGAAATTACGTCATTACAAAAATCGGATCAACAGATACCCCTTAAAATTATAATAGACAATAGGCCGGTTAATTATTAATTATTAATGCATGTAAAAGCTTGAGTATATGTGGGAAACTTCGAGAATAAATATTATAATACTATGACTTGTTCCAAAAATACATGGTGATGATACTGCACATTTTTTGGTCTGTATCGAGAAATATTATCATTCAAACACTCTTCTCAACACATACTAGATATTGACATATAAAATATTGTGCTTAATATGCCTTAGCTTTATTGATTGTAAATAAAAAAATACATATTTTTGTTTATACTGCGGAATAATACCTTTTACTATTGATTCATGCAAAAATGCCATCACGTTGCTATGATTGCGAACTTGAGTTAGTTGTTTGAACTTCTGCAGGTAAGACCATATTCTGTTCTATTTTCATATCATTCGCTATGTAATCCATAATTCCCATGTTTTCCACTGCAAATATGATACAGTTGAGCAAATACAAATACTTTGTTAATATCAAAATTTGAATCATTCAAAAGTATTAAATATACTATAAAATATTTTTATATAATAATTCTTATAAATACTAAATACATATAGAATGCTTTTACTCTAGCAGAATATAAAACTCAAATATATATATTATCTTTAAATCCTGTATATTACAATTAGTTATCCTAAAATATAGTATTCATTAAGCTTAATTGCACATTGTCTTGTATTAAAAAATTTAAGCTTTAAATATATATAGAATTGTTTAAAGCTCCCCATCATGTTCTAAAGTTTAATTAACTAATTTTTTGAATTGTACCTGTTTCCTGAAAAAGAAATAACCGTGACGACCTTAAAGAAAAAAAGGAAAAAAAAAATTAAGTTACCAGCAATAAAATTTTATAGCTTAATCTAAAATTTCCAGACTGGCTAATAAAAATATTATAATCTTATTTTTCTTACACCACCTGTTAAGATTTATTAGCTGCGTCAGAAAGACACCCGATTTGAAATCATTATAAAAAAAAAATCAAAATATATTTATCTCAAATTTACAGCCTCTTGCATCTTAATACTTGTTTCTTTGGTTATTTACTTGATTGAAAAGTATAATTTATTAGCTATAAAATAATGTAAACTTAAGAAATAATTTAGAAAATACTAATATTTATATCGCCCAAAATTTCTTCTTTTATATTTCTTTTTATTGATTGGGCGGGCGTTGCTTTGGAAAACAAATAAAAACGAAAAACTGATGGAGCAATATAGAAAAATAATTATATAAGCTTCACATGGAATAAAAAACTGCTGGTAATATTGGTAAAGATATAAAATGTAACAACCTAATATATTTTAGAGGTTGGAAATACTTAACCGGTTAATAACCGGTTAAAAATTCTTTAACCGGTTAATTAACCGGTTAAATTTAACTCAGGCCGGCACTATAAATTTGGGCAAAACTAGCGAAATTTTGTAATTGCAAAAAAATTTTAATTCTACCCGAAAATTATATTTCGGCCAGAGTTAACATTAGTTATTTTGACCGGTTAAAAAAATCTTTAACCGGTTAACAAGATAAACGTCTTAACCGGACCCAACCTCTAACATATTTAATTAAAAAAAAAAGTTATGTTAACCGTAAGACAGTTTGCATATTTGACAAATTTTCCGAATTTAATGTTTCATTTGTAATGTTTGCCATGGCAATATGCCAAGCTTTCTAATTAAACATTCGATGAACTCTTTATCAACAAAAGTACTTCTACATAAAAATCCATTTCTTTCGGTAATTGCATTGTCAATTACCAATTAATGAATAGTCAGATTTACTGTACCCTCACCTACTATATGTAAATTATTTTAATGAGTAGTTAAATATAAATCATTGTAAAATGGTTTAAATTTAGGCGTACCTCCTATTTAAAGACATGTCCTGATCCCGTTTCTTGCAGTATATTGCAGCGGGTTCAGCTACAGAAAACACATTAAATGAAATTACCAAAGGAAATATAAAAATCATAAATTTATAATATTAGTGAATATTTACACATTCTGTAGTGAAATGTGAATTTGTAGTTTTCTTTCACCAATTAACTTTGCTTTAAATGCACAATCTCTGATGATCGCTATTTTATTGCTTGAGAAATCTGCAGGGAACATAAGAATAACGTTTTTAAATAACAATTAATTACATTTCGAAGAAGTATATTCTTAAAATTTTAATTCGGGACAATGAATAAATGAGTTTGAATTTGGTTCAAACTGCATCATCTTCTAAAAAGCATATCAACTTGCAATAAATGATAATATTTGGCATGTTTTTAATAATCCGTCATTAATGAAACATATGCACTTTGGTTTGGTCCAGGTTTTAATTCTGAAATAAAATCATAAACTGCGCATGTATGCGTTGCATATATTATAAATAATAGTGTCGTAATACCTTGCTTATTAAATAAAATTAACCCTAAAAAAAAACCAATAATTAGTTCTTTTAGTTATGTAAGTGTTTTGGTCTAAATTGGAGAAAAATGAGACTGAAACTCGAAAACACCAATCATTTTTTATTTCTTTTTCAGCCTCCGGGCGAAGTTTCTATTGTTTTTCCGAAATAAGGAAACAAGAAACAAAATACAAGTATAAAAACGGTTGCTCCTCCTATTCACCAAATTATTTTTGAAAGAATTTGTTGGCGAAGAATAGGGGTCTAATGGTTTACCATTTTGTTTACAAGGCACTGGTAAATTTAAATCTAAACCTTGTGTATTTTTTTCTTCTCGCCTATTTCTCAAATTAAGTGTTAGACTTCCCGAATTTTCCTTTCCGTTTTGTCTCATTCACTTCCTATTCTCATTTCTTTTTAGTTTGAGTGATGAAATATCTAATCCTAAACTCCAAAATGGTTGATTTTCTGGCTCCTCATGGTCTAATCTACGAGAAATAATTTTAAATGTTCTTCGTCATTGAGATGTTCGCTATATTTATCTTTTTTAGCAATATTACTTTTTTTATTCCGATATTTCTTAAATTCTTCTAAAAATTCGCTTAAATTACAAACGTACTTACGATTGTATTTATTATTTTATTTTTTTTAAAAGATACTTATTTAAAATTCATTGCGATGTGCATAAAAACTTAGGAAAAGAACGAAAATAAAATGAATAAACCAGTTCAAACCTAACTACAAAATAGAAAAAAAGAAAAAAACCTAACAAGAAAAAAAGGGAACTAGCAAACTAATTCTAAAAATAAATTGTTTAAGTTCGGTTAAAATAAAAAAGAAAAAAGAAGTATAGGTAGCAACCATAGTAAACGAATAATTGGTTTTTGAAAAACCCATCTGAAAAGTTGGAACAAAAAAACATAAATAGTGTGATAGCAAGGTCAAATTTACGATGTCTATAATGTTTCCACAGTATTAAAAAAACTAAGAAAGGTAAAATACTTAACTTAATTTTTTAGCCTCGACAGATTGGACAATCGCTATCATAGTCTCTACCATTAGCTTTGTGAATATCATGATAAAAGCTTTCTCCAGTAAAACCGGGAGGTATACAAGTCATCTCTTCGAAAAGATCGTTTCCTTCTTTTACAAACCCAGCCA